ATTCTTCTGATAATATCAATTTACCATTTGGTGTCCGATATCCTGGTATACTTGAAGCAAGGGAGTGTAGTCCCAAACTACACAACGTGTAATAATAGATCCATACATAGGCTCCAGACTTGTGAGTATTGGATTGGCTTACTTTTATATTCATATCAAACAGCACTGTGCTACTCTATGTTCCTGTTTTATATATATCTACATTAAGATTGGTGAAGCAAGTCACCCTAAACCAGGAGGGGGTTGCCTTAACAGACCCAGAAGCCATTTCCACCTGAGCTAGGTTTAATAGCTCTCTGCTTGTGAGTGTTCCTATTTCTGTATATACTCACGTATTTTAATTATACTACACTATGATATATTATTTATGCTTTTAGGAAACTTGGATGTATCACATGAAATCTGTTGAATTTGTAAAAGTATATCTATACCATAATATTCCATTGAAAAGCACTGCACTTTTTTTATCATTGACCAGGGCCATCAATTCCTCTGTTTCTGTGTGTCCAACTCATCTGGTTACAAATATGTGTGTTAGTCCACACATTGTACAGCGCTGCAGAAGTTGTTGGTGCTTTATAAATAATAATAATAGTAATAATACACTGCCTGGCCAAAAAAAGTCACCACCTGGATTTAACTAAGCAAAGAGGTAAGAGCCTCCTATTGAATAGTAACTGCATGGGTGATTATTAAAAACTGGAAGGATAGTGAGGAACCACCAGTGATTGGTGCATCAGGGTAAGAAGAGAGGCAGATGCAGTGATGCGCCCTTCATGCCTACCACCTACTTCACAAGCCTGTGGGGGCAATGCTATCATCTGGGGTTGCTGCAGTTGGTCAGGTCTAGGTTCAGCAACATTATGTGCCCAAAGAATGAGGTCAGCTGACTTCCTGAATATACTGAATGGCCAGGTTACGTTTTCTTCTCTGATGGCACGGGCATATTCCAAGATGACAATGACAGGATTCATCCGGCTCAAACTGTGAAAGAGTGGTTCAGGGAGCATGATATTGGCCACCACAGAGTCCAGACCTTTACCCCATTGAGAATCTTTGGGATGTGCTGGAGAAGGCTTTGTGCAGTGGTCCGACTCTCCCATCATCAATACAAGATCTTGGTGAAAAATGCAACACTAGATGGAAATAAATCTTGTGACATTGCCGAATCTTATTGAAACAATGCCACAGCGAATGCACGCCATAATCAAAGCTAAAGGCGGTCCAATTAAATATTAGAGTGTGTGACCCTTTTTTTTTTTTGGTGGCGACTTTTTGTTTTGGCCAGGCAGTATATATAACACATTAACAGTTTAACTGATAATTCTCACTCACATTTCCCAGTCACTGTCAAACCATTTGTTACTGTTTTAGTTCGGCTGGTCTCATACACATAAACTTATGTGTTTGCTCTAGGAATTCAGGTTCAAGTTCTGATTCTGGAAGGGACTCAAGTTGTTTAAGGCCTTTTGATGATGTTGGTCGCTCAAACACAAAACACTTGTGTGAGTGAAAGAACTGGAGTATGCACTCACGGGGGCCATTGTATTCATATACCTTGGCTCCAAATCCTGAATTAACAAACAGAAAAATAAAACATCCTTATTTAAAATGATACTGTATAGTACTGAGGCATTAGTAAAGTAATATAAAGTTTGTTACAAATCGAGCATCACCAGTAAAGACAGTTCTTGTTCCTCAAGGCTATTCAAAAAAGTAAAAAACTTTTTCTCTGTTTTTTACATAGTTACATAGCTGAAAAGAGACTTGCGTCCATCATGTTCAGCCTTCCTCACATATGTAATTGCTGTTGATTCAAAAGAAGGCAAAAAACCTAGTCTGAAGCACTACCGATTTTGCCACAAACTAGGAAAAAATTCCTTCTTTACCCCAAAATAGCAGTCAGATCTCTCCTTGGATCAAGCAGTTATTACCCCACTAATTAGAAATTATATCCCTGTATGTTATGTTTTTGTAAGTATTTATCCAATTGCAGTTTAAACATCTGTATGGACTCTGACAAAACCACCTCTTCAGGCAGAGAATTCCATATCCTTATTGTTCTTACTGTAAAAAACCTTTTCTTTGCCTTAGATGAAATCTCCTTTCTTCCAGCCTAAATGTGTGACCTTGTGTCCTATGTATAGCCCTGTTTATGAATAGATTTCCAGATAAAGGTTTGTACTGGCCCCGAATATATTGGTATAAAGTTATCATATCCCTCTCAGGCGCCGTTTTTCATAACTAAACAGATTTAATTTTTTTAACCTTTCTTAACTAAAATGCTCCATTCCTTTTATCAATTTTGTAGCTCGTCTCTGGACTTTTTCTAGTGCCATGATATCTTTCTTTAGTGCTGAATGGGGGACTTCTCTCAAAGAGATCTAAAATCCTTGGGGGTGGGGTGGGGTGGGGTGGGGTGGGGAGGTGAAGAGGGCAAGATGATACACCATGTTTAGTTTTCTTGCTTAAGGACAATGAATGGCATTATATGAATAGTTCCGTTTAATATATGTGTGTTTTCTTGATGTGCTACTGAAATAGTTTTATTACTTACTGATGTGGTAATATGCAAATAGCTCACTATCGTTGCATGTTAATGGCATTTTACAGCATATTACGCATGTATGTTGCCCTACTGTACTCTATAAACATGTATATTTCTTTTAACCACTGTCGTCTATTTTGTTATTCATGCTGCTCAATCATAAGTAAATTATTTAAAAAAAAAAGAAAACATAAAACAAAATGGTAAAATAATGCTGAGAGTGGTGTATTATTATTAGAATTAAGAGTTATAAAATCTTGACACCATAACAAAATCCATTAAAAGGGATCCCATTAAACGATAGTGTAACCAAAATCAAAGTTGTCTATGGCCATGCTTTCCCCTTAGCCCCCAAAACAAAGTGTAAATGATACTACATATTTAGAGTTCCCCAGATTCCCTTATTTGAGCAGCTCTCTGTTTCAGAGGTGATGTACTATACTCCTGGAACACATGTTACATAGTTACATAGTTACATAGCTGAAAAGAGACTTGCGTCCATCAAGTTCAGCCTACCTCACATTTGATTTTTGCTGTTGATCCAAAAGAAGGCAAAAAAACCCAGTTTGAAGCACAATTTTGCAACAAGCTAGGAAAAAAATTCCTTCTTGACCCCAGAATGGCAGTCACATTTATCCTTGGATCAAGCAGTTATTACCTACATTGAAAGATTATATCCTTGAATATTCTGTTCTTGCAAGTATGCATCTAGTAGCCGTTTGAACATCTGTATGGACTCTGATAAAACCACTTCTTCAGGCAGAGAATTCCACATCCTGAATGTTCTTACAGTATAAAAACCTTTCCTTTGCCTTAGACAAAATCTTCTTTCTTCCAGTCTAAACACATGTCCTCGTGTCCTATGTAAAGTCAAACAAATTGCAGTAGAGTTACTAGGACCTCTAAGAGCCCCTGCTTTAACTAACTTCCTCTAAGTTAAACAGACAGGGTTCCTTAACTATACATAATAACCTTTGGGTTGGTAGCAAATATTCTATTAGTTATTAAAGCCCTTTGTGTCCTTCTTTGCCAAAACATAATTGCAGCTGGTTTAAAAAAAAATCTACTGAATCTTATAAAACATTTTCTGTAGGATGTAATACACTAAATTATCACCTTTTTTAGCTTCAGAGAATTCTGTAGATATTGATCCTCTGTGATTGGTGATCCATTTATTTCTAATTGTAAGATAAAATCCCGGACACACCAGATAAACGCTGGGAAATATCTCTTCAATTCTGAAGAACCACTATCATCATCATCAATAACTTCATTATTTGCTGCTGCCTTAGAATTTACTTGTATCCTTTCAGTGAGTTCAGTCACATAACTGGAGGCAATCAGCTAAGGAAAGTCATACTGTAGTTGTACTTTGGTCTCTGTTTCTTTCAGTAGTTAAAGGGACCTCATAGTCACCAGAACAGCTACAGCTTAATGTAGTTGTTCTTGTGTCTACAGCATGTGCCTGCAGACTTTTTAATTTAAATGAAGTAGATAAGAGAAACATACTGTTTTTGGCTTTGTATTAGATTCATTCTCCCTCAGGTGTTTCAGGATAAGCAATTAACGCATTTTACCACTTTTGATAGATTGCAGGTGTTACTGAACCTGTCTGAGTGCCTCTACCAGGTTTACTATATCAGGTAAAATTCACCTGCTACCAGAACAATAAAGGAAATCCCTGAACATGTCGTTCCATTCAGACCTTGGTTCTGATATCCTTGGGGATCCTTTAAAGGTGTCCTTTATATCTGGAATTGCAACCAATGTGTGACTCTAAGTGGTTGATTTATCCTGCATGATATAATGTAATGCAGCTTGTTGAGGACAAACATTTGACTGATTATGTTTTACATGGTCTCTGTATCTAGAGCGGTATAAGTTATGGTCTCTCCTAACATTGCATGGATGTAATACATGTGGATTATATACTTGGATTGGTGTTGATATCCTGCAGATAAAACAAACTGATTATCACCATGGGCTCTGCTGTAAGTACTTCTTCACTATCTGAAGATAAGGTAAGAGTAAGTATGCGGTTGTTTGTTCTCCTAAGGATAACAGAATATATCATACTATCCTGCTTATTATGTGTCTGTTGCCACAATGTATAATGTGCCTCTGGTTACCACCTTCTCATCAGTATCTTGCCTATTCCTCGTATATGATTCCTCTTGCCTTTGCCTAGGTTTATACCGCTCCTGTGACTGATCATTGCAGTATCAATTCATCCACAGTGTGAGGTATTGTTGAGTCTGGTATTACAATATATATAGTCGTTATTGTGCTCTGCCTCTTTCTGACAGGCAAATATTGATTTGTTTCCTGTATTTACAGGTAAGTAAAATACATCCAGAAAGTAGTAGGATTCTCAGTGTAATTCTCCCGGTGTTTAATAGCATGGTGTGTCCGTTCTCATCCAATATTATCTGCTTGTTCCAGTGTGATACCTGAAAGTTATGCCTTTATCAAGGTTCTGATTTGATGTCATCCATTGGTTTTAAATTTATATCAGAAAAGAACATTTATTTTTTTTAATCCATCGCAAAATGGATTACGAGAGTTTGTTTAGCCTTGTTCCTTCTCTATGTTTGGCTGTCGTGGCCTTAATTCCTATCTGGCCATTTCAGACACTTGAATGCCAGGAGGTTGCAGACCTTGCAGCCGTTAGGGTAAATTACCTTGTCTGAACAGGTTTTATATCAATATCCTATTGATTACTGGTTTGGCTTTTTTAAAGTCTTCTAAGGTTTAAGCAGCCCAATAATGTTTTTATAACTATTGGCTGTTTTTGAACTCTGTCCTTCCCTCTATATATTCTGCTTGGGTATTACCCATCAGTAAATGCTGCCATGAATAATGGTCAGGAAAAGGAAAATTTGCTTCATACTTACCGTAATTTTCTTTTCTTGATTAATTATTCATGGCAGCATTACGCTCCCACCCATATACTATAAGAGTGAAGCTAGTTACAAAGACTGCCTGATGGGAAGGGGGAGTATCTATTTATACCAGTTTCAGAGTTCTATTTCCTGTCCTTTCTGCTGTGAGGGGAGGAGCTAACCCATGAGTAAATGCTGCCATGAATAATGATCGGGAAAAGAAAATTACGGTAAGTATGAAACAATTTTTTTCCCTTTTTCCAGAGTGAATCAAGTTAAAATTTGATGTTTATTGATTATGTAAATTCTATATTTTACAGAGGAAATGAAATTGGGATGGTAAAGCAGACAGCGGCTTGTACCTAATTAAATGTGTCTATTTAATTAAAATGTCTGAATTTCAATAGGATTAGCCTTTGATACATATGAGAATTAAACTGCAGTTGCAATTTGAGTATGTTAACTAAATTTTGCTCATTGTAATCCTGAATGGATCCTCATTGGAGTAACTAAATGACCTCCCTTTGTTTTAAATATACATAGGGATTAAGGAGAGCGCAGGTAACTTGTTTTTTTTGGGGGGGGGCTGTATATCGGGGCTGATGTGTATTGTAGTCATTGCTGCCCCCCAGGAATGAGGGGAGTGAGCGCAGGACTTATCTTTCTGTATATGTTATGGATTTTAATCACTTGTTTCTTAATATTTCATTGTTTATTGCATTATTCATTTAGAGCACATTTTGTCAGATATTCATCAAATTCTAGAAAGACCAAGAAGACCTGTTTCTAGGAGGACCTGTTTCAAAGTAAAATTTGAAGAAAAGAAAAAATTGTTCTAAAATTTAGAGTGGTTCCCTAAGGCTATTCTTGAGATGTTTTACATCATGAAGCCGGTGACTTTCCTGTCAATCAAGCCACGTGACATATTCATTGTGAATGGAGAAGTGTATAAATAAGAAGTGATTTCAGACAAGGCTTACTCCTCTCTTGGCTGATCTTTCCTCCAAGATGAAGCTCTACATCTGCCTGACCTTGATACTGGATGTCGCTGCAGGTAACAATATTTCTTGTGGCTTCTCATCCCATTTTCAGCTGCACCTTCCCCTGCTGTCCCTCTATTCTTTCACCAGCATTTTGATTTACTAAAATCTGAATTGCATGATTTGTACACAAACAGTTTCCACAGTTTTTAATATTATGCATACTCTCCTTATAATTTAAAACATATATAGTTGTGACTTGTGAAAAATACAATTATAGGGAAACTCCAGGTCCCAATATAAGTAGGTTTTGGGCATATTAAAATCTTTGTAGAATGCTTCACCTTTGGTCTGTGTATTTAGCCATTCCCTCTTACACCAGGAAAATAATTCCTTCTCAATGTATGCATACAGCTCAGCCACTGACAGTACTGAATGATCTGAACTACACAGCACACATCATATTAATGAGTCCAAAACCTATCGAAAGCATTTTGGTGTATTGGTACCTGGGGTGTTCCTTTAAATGTGGACATTCATCTTTGTTCTGCAAGTGGGTGTCTCTATCATAGTTATTTGTAAATTATTGCTATAAGCTCTGTCCTTTGTACCTAGCTGTCAGTGTAGAGAATGCATCCAGATAAGGGGATGCTTTGCCTTGTCTGAACTGGATTGTAATACTTCTATATACTGTACTGTAATACTTCTATCTCACAGACCCAGCATTTATTTTTGCACATATGTTTGGCTTCAGTTATAGCTGCACCTAAAAACTAAATTTCACTAGTTGTAATTTAACAACTTTCTAAAAGAATATGAAACTAGGTCCTAATATCTATAAACATAAACCCAAAATAAGTTAAAAAAAAATAAGAGTTGCTGTCCCTTAAAAACCAGTACCCATAAACAGGGCCGTCTCTAACGCGGGGCAAACGGTGCAGCTGCCCCGGGCCCAGTTGCTCCTGGGGGCCCAGAGCAGCTGCTCTGTGGGCCCCGCGATTTGCGCAGCCCCTACGGACCGGGCGGTGCGGCTCCCGCACACTGAGGAGGCTCTCCGGGTGGCCCATGCATCTGTGAATCCGGTATCTGTGAATGTTTTAATGTCTGTCTGTGTGTATGTGCCAGTACGTCTGTCTGTGTGTGTATGTCAGTATGTCTGTGTGTGTGTGTCAGCATGTCTTTGTGTGTCAGTATGTCTGTGCGTGTATGTAAGTATGTCTGTGTGTGTGTGTGTGTCAGTCAGTATGTCTGTCAGTGTATGTGTCTGTGTGTATGTATGTATGTATGTATGTCTGTGTGTGTGTGTGTCAGTCAGTATGTCTGTCAGTGTATGTGTCTGTGTGTGTGTCAGTATGTCTGTCAGGATATATTTGTATGTCAGTGTATGTGTGTGTCAGTATATATCTGTTAATGTTTTAATGTCTGTCTGTATCAGCCATTACGTCTGTCTGTGTATATGTCAGTATGCCTGTGTGTGTATGTCAGTATGCCTGTGTGTGTGTCAGTGTGTCTGTCAGTGTATGTGTCTGTGTGCTTTAGTATATCTGTCAGTGTATGTGTTTGTGTGTGTGTCAGTATATCTGTTAATGTATGTGTCTGTGTATGTATGTATGTATGTCTGTGTGTGTGTCAGTATGTCTGCCAGTATATATTTGTGTGTAGTGACTGTGTGTGTCAGTATATGTCTGTCTGTGTGTGTATGTGCCAGTACGTCTATTAGTGTGATTGCGGGTTGGACGTAATTGGGGGGTGAGGCAGTGGCAGGGACAGGGCCCATGAGGCCCAAGAAAATGCATTGCCCAGGGTCCTAATCATATTATAGATGGCCCTGCCCATAAACGTTCTTCTCAAGAAGCAGTTTCAAATAAACAGTAAGTGCTCACACGGTCATGGATATATACTAATTAGAAAATATATTTTATTCAAAACATGACATTAACAACATCACAGATAAAAGTAGAATACACGTAGTACAAAGCAGCAATCCCTTAAACAAAGGACCAAAAATAGCCCTATAAAGAAAAAGCCTTTTAAAATGCCACCGTCACCACTCCCTCCCATATCTCATGAGAATTTTATCAAGATAGAATCTTGCTCATTTCAGTGGAATTCCAACCTGGTCAAGAGATATACTGAGACAAAGTAAGGACTTCAATTATAGAAAACGAAAAAATTCCCCTTAGTTGTAGATCCACGGAAATGTAGAGACCACGACTAGGGGAATCGGTCAGGATGGGTGTTACCGGCTCCACCCAGACTTGGGCATAGACCCTTAATTGTACAGTAAATAAAAATATGAAAAAGTGCTAAGGTAGTTCCCCTTATACAGGAGAAACTACCAAGCCTGCCAGCAAAGTAAGCAAACACTAATATAAAGCCTGATACATCTCAAAATATGGAGTCTGACTGATAGGAGAGAAGTAATTAAGGGAAGGAGAGCCAAACGATACTTGGTAATATCAGATATTGTTATAGTGCATACAAGAGTATCTCTAAATAAACAGTACAGAACTGTAACTTTATTAAGCTGCTGAATCAGAAGAGGATACAATAGCACCTAAGTAACAAAGTAACAACTCAAATCCCTATAATTGCTTATTAATGTGAATCCTTAAGTATAAGGAAATAAACATTTAGTTATAAATAATACTCCAAACGAGCTTGCAAAGATAGGAACTGGGAGATAAATACAACATTCTAAATTCTGTTCCCAGAGGGACTTCAAACTGATAATCCCCTAGATAGCATTAATGATAGAAAATCCCTCTATGTAGTTATAAGTAAAAACGATGTCGAGCAAGTGTATGTAAAATAGAGGAAAAAATGTAGCCAATACAGATATACAAATATAGTATGAATGAAGGATGGTCTAATAACAACAGAAGAAAGAGTTTAGAACACCCACGAAGGTGTTTATTAGCACAAGCTAGGGCTTATAATAGAGCAGCGATAGAACTACTCTTTTGGATTATATCCGTTTACTATATATTCTGCATATGCTCCTCTTTCTTCTGTTGTTATTAGACCATCCTTCATTCATACTATATTTGTATATCTGTATTGGCTACATTTTTTCCTCTATTTTACATACACTTGCTCGACATCGTTGTAGCGGAGAGGCAATATGATCCACGATATCTCCGCTGGGTAACAGGAACAACAAAGGATAATCCAGGGAATCAGCATAAAATAATCCAAACAGCACTGCAGTAACCCTTCCTTCCCAAGAACTAGACGATACATAGGCTGGGAGTCAACTGAGGTTTTAATCACAGGTCACAGTATTTATGCAATTCCCCATGCAAGGGGTTTCCAAACGGACATTACAGGTGTTGTACAGGAGGGGACTACATGGGGGACTTACAGTACCACATATTTCTCCCATCAGGCACCGCTGCACGAGAGGGATCATCCTCCCAGAATGCACCGTTAAGGGGATTATCCCCTCGTGCAGCGGAACCGGCAATTCACACAAAAATCTACAACTGGTATAATATACGGTGGATTTACACGAATGGACGTTCGGTAGATAGCTGGGGTCTGGGCGCATCATTCGTGAGATTGCCGCTCAGATCCCAGCTAAAATAACCGAACGCCGCACAGAAAACACATTTCTTTCCAAACCCACGAAAAGAACCGATTGCTTTTAGTGAACCTGGTCCTGAAACTCCCGAACGTCCTGGAGGCTCAGCGGTGTTCGTGCCGTCGAATAACTGTTGGTAATGCTATGCGTTCGACGACACGGACCCGCTGAAGAACCAGGGATCCAAGATGGCCGACCGCCGCATGGTCGGTAGTCGAACGACGGCCACCCAGGAGAGCCTCTAATAACCGATTGCAACAATGTTGCAATCGGTTAACTAGCGCCACACGCCTCTAAGTGTGTGGGCTATTAGGGGGTATCGCATTCGTTTCACGAACGGCCCTCCAAAGTGCCGTTCGCGAAACGAACGGGAATCCCCATACAAACCGCCATTTGCATTCGGCGGAACAGATAGGTACAGGCAATGCAGGGAATACATGAAGCAGGCACATACAGTTACAACGCCTCTCTCTCCAGACCTATAGGCAACCCTTAAAGGCATAGTGTCCAGTTATAGTCCGAGTGGCTAGGTTTGCCACAATGCTCCCCGAGAACCAAGCCGGCATACACAGTCTGATCCCAACGGATCGGCTTGGGGATGTCCGGAGGAGTACTCACGAATCACGGCTCCAAGTCTGTTTGTCTAGACAACCCGTCGGCGTTGCCATTCTGCTTCCCAGGGCGGTAGTGGATAGTAAAGTCAAAAGGCTGCAGCGCCAAACTCCAGCGCAGCAGCCTGGCATTGTCTCCGGACACCCTGTTCAGCCACACCAACGGGTTGTGATCCGTGAGTAAAGTGAAGGGTTGCCCTGCAACTTCTTGAGGGCCCACACCACAGCCAGGCACTCCTTTTCAATGGCGGCGTAGCTTACTTCCCTGGGTAAAAGTTTTCGGCTTAGGTAAGCTACGGGGTGCTCGCCGCCATCGGGTCCAACTTGGCTCAGTACTGCTCCCAATCCAAACATAGAAGCGTCTGTGTGGACGAGAAAGCGTTTAGTTGGATCAGGAGCAGAAAGTACAGGAGAGTTAACCAGCGCCGTCTTGAGCTGTTGGAACGCCTGCTCACACTCTGGGGCCCAGACTACTAACTTAGGGAGGTTCTTGCGGGTCAGGTCTGTGAGGGGTTTGGCGAGGGCGCTATAGTTGGCCACAAACTTCCGGTAGTACCCGGCGGTCCCTAAAAAGGCGAGCACTTGGGTCTTGGTGCGAGGGGTAGGCCATTGGGCGACTGCCTCTATTTTAGCAGGTTCGGGTTTCTGTTGCCCACTCCCTACCCGGTGTCCCAGATACTGGACTTCCGCCATACCGATATGGTATTTGCTGGGTTTTAGGGTCAGTCCGGCCTCTCGGATTCGGTCTAGAATGGCTCCTATGTGAACCAGATGTTCGTGCCAGGAGTGGCTGAATATGGCGATATCATCTAGATACGCGCAGGCATACTCCTGGAACCCATCTAACAGTCTGTCCACCATTCTCTGGAAGGTAGCTGGAGCGTTTTTCATCCCGAATGGCATAACCTTAAACTGATACAGGCCAAACGGGGTGACAAAAGCCGACTTCGGGATGGCGTCTTCCGCTAAGGGAATCTGCCAGTACCCTTTGCACAAGTCTATAGTGGTTAGGTATTGACCCCTGGCCATCTTGTCGAGGAGTTCGTCTATTCGGGGCATGGGATATGCGTCAGAGGTCGTTTTATCGTTGAGCCGTCGGTAGTCTACGCAGAAACGGGTCGTCCCGTCCCGTTTCGGCACCAGTACTACCGGGGAGGCCCAGGGGCTGTCCGAGTGCTCTATTACTCCTAGCTGAATCATCTCCTCAATTTCCTTGCGCATATTCTCCTTGACTGCTTCTGGAGTGCGGTAGGGGGGTTGGCGCAAGGGGGTCGAATCTAACGTTTCTACCTTATGGGTAGCCAACGGGTATAGCCGGGTAAATTGGAAAACGTGGCCTTCTTTTCCCGAAGCAACTTTTGTACCTGGGCCCGTTCTTGGGTATTTAATCTTTCTCCTAACTGTACCTCTCCCAGATCTCCGCTCTGGCCCTCTTGGTCTAGGAGATCGGGTAGGGGTAGGTTATCAAAATCTTCCGTGGCAGGGGCACAGATTGCGGTGACTTCCTCAGTCCGTTCGTGGTATGGCTTGAGCATGTTCACATGGAGCATGCGTTTGCCTCCCACGCCGGTAACCGGGCCGATCACATAGGTGGTGTCACAGATCTGTTCCACCACTTTGTATGGGCCCTGCCAGGAAGCCTGCAGCTTATCTTTGTGGACGGGTCGCAGGATTAGGACTTTCTGCCCCACCTGGAAGCTGCGGTCCCTGGCTCCCTTATCATACCATCGGCGCTGTCGTTGTTGCGCTACCTGGAGATTGTCTCGGACGGTCTGGGTTAGCCTCTCCAGGCGTTCCCTGAACTCGAGCACATATGGTAAGATAGGGGTGCCATTAATGGTTTCGTCTCCCTCCCAGTGTTCCCGTATCAAGTCAAGAGGTCCCCTCACTCTCCTCCCGAATAATAATTTGAACGGAGAGAATCCGGTGGATTCTTGTGGCACTTCTCGATATGTGAACAGTAGGTGGGGTAAAAACCGCTCCCAGTCCTTTTGGGTGTCCATGAACGTGCGGATCATTTGTTTCAGGGTTCCGTTAAACCGTTCACAGAGCCCATTGGACTGGGGGTGATATGGGGAGTTGAGGATTTGTTGTATCCCACATAGTTTCCAGAGCTGATGGGTCACTTCAGCAGTAAACTGGGTGCCTCTATCGGAGATAATCTCCCGGGGAAATCCTACCCGGGTGAATATCCTCATCAGGGCTTCGGCTACCGTTTCTGCGTGTACGTTCGTTAGGGCCACTGCCTCGGGATACCGGGTGGCGTAGTCCACCACAGTTAGGACATACTTCTTGCCGGAGGGGCTGGGTTTTGCGAGGGGACCTATAATGTCTACTGCCACCCTACTGAATGGTTCTTCAATGATGGGCAGAGACCGTAGTCGGGCTTTGTATCTGTCCCCCCTCTTGCCTACCCTTTGGCAGGTATCGCAGGTCTGACAATACCGCTTAATATCCTGGGAAATACCTGGCCAAAAGAAATTTTGGGTCAGCCTGTGCTTGGTCCGACTGATGCCTAGGTGTCCAGACAGAGGGATATCATGGGCTATGCGTAACAGCTCTAACCTATACTTTCGAGGCACTATTAGCTGTTTAATGGGCAATGGTATTGACCCGGACACTACCTTCTCTGCGTGCCGATATAGTAGCCCTTTGTCCCAGATATATCTTTCCCCTTCTAACCCAGCTTGATTTTTATCCATGCGGTCTTTGTACACCTGTAACGAAGGATCTAGGGCTACTTCGGCCCCGAACTCTATGGAATTGGCCCAGGGCAGGATAGGGGGTAGGGGAGGGTCATTGCTTACCTGAGCCTCAGAGTGTTCGAATGGTGCAGTGGTGCGGGCCTGTTGCTGGGTCACAACCGGGTATGCTTCTTGTACGGTGGGCTGTGGAACAAAAGCCGAAGTCAGCTCCCCCAAATCGTTGCCCAAAATCGCATCCGCTGGCAAGTCTTGCATCATCCCCACATATACATTCCCGTGCCCCGCTCCCCAATTCAAGTGCACCTTGGCCGTGGGTACTTTGTAAATGGCTCCCCCAGCCACCCGTACAGCCACACAGTCCCCCGTGAGCTTGGGCTTGGGTACCAGATGACTGCGTACTAGAGTTAGGGTAGCTCCCGAGTCACGAAGCCCTTGTACTTTCCTCCCTTCCATGTGTACTTCCTGGCGGTGTCCTTGGCGGTTATCGGAGGCGGCCTGGATAGGGTTCACCTCGTGTAGAGTACCGAGGGGTTCCTCCCGGGTCGTCCCCAACTCCAGATTTTGGTAGGATTCGGCCTGTAGACAGTGGACTGCGGCACGGTTGCTCGGGGCGGCGTTATTCCAGCTGGGTCGAGGCCGGTTCCGTGGGCAGTCTCTTTGGATGTGTCCCTGTTGGTTGCAGGTATGGCACCGGATTGGTGGACGTGCTGAATATCTGGGGGGGTAGGAATTCTGGTTTACCCCTGGTCGCTGGTACGTTGTGGGGCCCCCTGGAGGGCTGGCCGTTGTAGGGGGGATGGTGGCTCGGGTGGGTATGGGTTGATCTCTCCGATTGTCCTGGAAATCGTCTGCCATATTAGCCGCCTCCTGCAGGGTGTGTGGCTTTCTGTCCCGGATCCAGTTTTGTAGGTAGGTCGGGACGCCATTGAAGAATTGTTCCAGTACCATTAGCTGGAACAGACCTTCCAATGTATCAACTTGGGCGGCCTCCAGCCACCCTTTGGCAGCTCGTTGTAGCTGGTGCGCCCACTCCACATGGGTGTCCTTACTGGGTTTTTTAATGTCCCGAAACTTCTTTCGGTATGCCTCTGATGTGATGGCATACCGGGCTAGGATGGCCTGCTTTACTTTCCTCGTCTGGTACTGCCCGGTACGCTTCGGCGGCTCGCCCAGATAATCTCCCCGCTAGTAGGGGTACTCTGTCTGCATCATTAATTTCGTGCAGCAAACACAGTCTCTCGAAATCCTGTAAATAGTCGTCAACGCCACCCTCTGTCTCCACATAGCTTTTGAAGGCTTGATATGGGATTTTGGTTTTCCCTGGGAAAATATGGACGCGCGTTGCGGCTCTTTCTCTGGCTTGCTGGTTTCCTGGCGGTCCCCTAGCCATAATGTACTCCTGTACATCGGCGAACAGCCGGTTAAACATTTCTGTAGATGGTGGTTCAGGAAATAAAGCCATTCGTGCTCGGAATTCCGCTGTAAATTCGTTGTTTTGTCCCTCCATTTGAGGTGCTGCAGCAGCTGCGGCTCTGTCTCCTTCCATGAGCTCTGTAATTAGGACAGCCTTTGCCTTGTTACTGGCGATTGCTCCTCTTGCTTCCAGCAGCTCCTTTAATGTGCTCCGTTTTAGCAGGGTGTAATCTGTTCCCATTCACCTGCTGTTCGTGAGGTTTATTCGAATGCGCTGATTCCCGAACGCTTGTTCCTTGATTCGTTTAAAAATCTGCCGAACGTTGCTTTGCTGTGTAAATTCAATCCCACCGCTGCCACCAATTGTAGCGGAGAGGCAGTATGATCCACGATATCTCCGCTGGGTAACAGGAACAACAAAGGATAATCCAGGGAATCAGCATACAATAATCCAGACAGCACTGTAGTAACCCTTCCTTCCCAAGAACTAGACGACACATAGGCTGGGAGTCAACTGACAACCTTTTAATCGGCAGGACAATTTATACAAGTCCCCATGCAAGGGGTTTCCTGAGTCCCTCCCCAGGGGCACTCCCAGAGGGGACTACATGGGGGACTTACATGCCAACATATTTCTCCCATAAGGCACTGCTGCACGAGAGGGATCATCCTCCCAGAATGCACCGTTAAGGGGATTATCCCCTCGTGCAGCAGAACCGGCAATTCACACAAAAATCCACAGTTGGTACAATATACGGTGGATTTACACGAATGGACGTTCGGTAGATAGCTGGGGTCTGGGCGCATCATTCGTGAGATTGCCGCCCAGATCCCAGCTAAAATAACCGAACGCCGCACAGAAAACACATTTCTTTCCAAACCCACGAAAAGAACCGATTGCTTTTAGTGAACCTGGTCCTGAAACTCCCGAACGTCCTGGAGGCTCAGCGGTGTTCGTGCCGTCGAATAACTGTTGGTAATGCTATGCGTTCGACGACACAGACCCGCTGAAGAACCAGGGATCCAAGATGGCCGACCGCCGCATGGTCGGTAGTCGAACGACGGCCACCCAGGAGAGCCTCTAATAACCGATTGCAACAATGTTGCAATCGGTTAACTAGCGCCACACGCCTCTAAGTGTGTGGGCTATTAGGGGGCATCGCGTTCGGTTCACAAACGGCCCTCCAAAGTGCCATTCGTGAAACGAAAGGGAATCCCCATTCAAACCGCCATTTGCATTCGGCGGAACAGATAATTACAGGTAATGCAGGGAATACATGTAACAGACACATACAGGTTAAAACGCATATCTCTCCAGACCTATAGGCAACCCTTAAAGGCATAGTGTCCAGTTATAGTCCGAGTGGCTAGGTTTGCCACAATCGTTTTTACTTATAACTACATAGAGGGATTTTCTATCATTAATGCTATCTAGGGGATTATCAGTTTGAAGTCCCTCTGGGAACAGAATTTAGAATGTTGTATTTATCTCCCAGTTCCTATCTTTGCAAGCTCGTTTGGAGTATTATTTATAACTAAATGTTTATTTCCTTATACTTAAGGATTCACATTAATAAGCAATTATAGGGATTTGAGTTGTTACTTTGTTACTTAGGTGCTATTGTATCCTCTTCTGATTCAGCAGCTTAATAAAGTTACAGTTCTGTACTGTTTATTTAGAGATACTCTTGTATGCACTATAACAATATCTGATATTACCAAGTATCGTCTGGCTCTCCTTCCCTTAATTACTTCTCTCCTATCAGTCGGACTCCATATTTTGAGATGTATCAGGCTTTATATTAGTGTTTGCTTACTTTACTGGCAGGCTTGGTAGTTTCTCCTGTATAAGGGGAACTACCTTAGCACTTTTTCATATTTTTATTTAAAGTAAGGACTTCTTTGTCTTTGTAGAATTTCTCTGCCTGAGACTTTTAAACCCTGGGCGGACCTACCGCTGTCTAGAAGTGTCTAGCAGCCCCTTTGTACAAGCAGTAAGTGTCCACAATTACTAATATACACATGCCCACTGTGTGATGAAACTAGGCACCAACTGGCTTCAGGGCTTACTTAATGTATGCTATATTATGAAAGGTTCCATTCATATAAAGGTTCCTGATGAATCAGTGTCCCTGTTAACGCCCAATCATTGCAAGCCACTTTTTCAAGGTGTAAAAAGCTGCTAAATAGCCCTTCACTATTTGCTTCTGTGGAATATATGCCACTTAGAGGGCTCCAGTAAAGGCCTTAGTTATTAACTAGATTCGGAACCTTTTATATACTCCACTCTGACAACGGAGTGCAGCGCAGTTCTGGGAGGTTGTAATTGCCTGCTGACATCACAATGTATGCGTTTCATCTTTTAAAGACCTTTTTATTACAGCTGCAAAAAAAATGCAATTTAACAGTTTTAACATGTTCTTCACCAGCATAGTGCAAAATTTGCACATACACCAAGAAACTAGATCTGGTGACTAAGCTGATTTATGCTCAGAAGTCAGCTTGCCAACCATAATAGTAAATATCACATATCTTTTTACTGAATTCCAAGTTAATTTTCAACTATCAAATAACGCTTAACATATATTTTCAAATCTCTTTTCTGTCAGAAAAGTTTGTGGAAATATTCATATATTCATAAATCCATTGCGCCAATGGAAAAAATGGAGCAAAAAAAGACAACTGTTGAAAAAAAAAAAAAAAAAAAGAAAATCACCTAAAATGAGTTTAAAAGGTGTTGGTGTCAGTTTGATAAACATCCTCCATTGTAAAAACACTCTCAGCTCTCTCTGTTTACACCCAGGCCTGCAGTGTACTCAGGTTCCTGGGAAACTGAAGCAGTTGGATGCTGGAGCCGGACAGGTTTATGGGGTCAACGATGCCGATGACATATTCCATTTGAATGGTAATAGCTGGGAGCAGGTTCCAGGCAAACTGATACATGTCAGACAGAACAATATATTCAAGATTCAAGATGGCGTCTGGGTGAACGTAGAAGGTAAGAGTTTACTGGTATACAAAAATAAGTCAGCCTTTGGAATGAGACATGGAAGGCGAACTGTGAATGTATACACTACAGAAATAGATACCTGATATACGTCTATAATGTTTTTTATTTGGGGGATACAATGTTTTATTTAATGGATAACGTGTTCTGATACATTCCCACATGGCCATTTAAGTTCCCTTTCTCTCCTGTTTAGCTTACATTTTCAAAAGTAGTCAGTTATTGATACTGATTATACAGTGATTTATTGCAGTTTCTTTTAATGACTTTTTCTATCGGACTAACGGAAATATGCAGTGAGGCGCTTAAAGAAATTCCTACCTTTATCAAATGCAAAGCATTTCTGACCAAAGTGAAACAAGCAAGCTAAGTTGGCTGTAATGGATGTTTAAATGGGTAAAAACAATATGCCGAGGTGTTGTAAATCTGCCCTGGGATAGAATAGGGAAAAAGCAAACAAAAGTTAAAGGATCACTCCACATCTATAAAGCACTTCAGCTTGTTAAAGGGCTGTATCAGTGATAAGGAGTATCTTATTTCAAATCCAGAGATTTGAGAGTACCAACTTCTATGAAAAATAAGCACTTTTAAAATTCAATTAAAAAACAACTCACTGGCTGTCAGACAGCCAGGACGGTTAGTTACCTCTTTCTGTTAGCTTTACTGAGCTAACATGACATTTGCACTGTCGTTATTCGGCATGTGCTATAAACTTTAACTTTAATAATACACGGACACGTTTAATACTGTTGGAGTATAACGTCCACAGCTTTATTAATATGAATAAATTAACATATTTAGGGTCATTGTCATAAATGACATTATTTATTATCCCCCCGCACAATCCCCTGACAATGACCCTACCACATGAACAATAATTAACATCAATTACCAATAAACTTGTAAACATCCGGCCTACCAACGAGGCCCCATATCATAATGATAACTGTAGGGGTGTACCCAGACACCCCTACACCCCCAGGTTCATCGCCACCGAAGAGCTAGAACCTACCAACCATGACACCGTCTGGCCTACTTCAGCCTAGGCCCTGGCCTGTACAGTTCCAATTCCCTGATAACTTCCAACTTAACCACGCCCTGTTCCGCCACAGCACTTGTCTTGACCCCTTAAGACCATGTGCGACCCCCACCACACTGAAACAGGGCTCAGGCTATGCCCTCCTGGAACCCCAAGTTCAGCAAGTCACACCCCACCTCTGACAGGTGTACTCCATCCCTCCTATAATAACCTGGCAACATGCCCTCCAGTTCCCGATGCCTCACCACTACTCCCCCCATCCGCTTAACAAATACTGCCATAGCTCTATTAATCTTCCCCCTGCATCGTGCCATCGCAGCAGGGTCCCTGGCGTGCCGCCATGTAAAACGAGGCACCATCTCGGACCACACCACCACCACGTCAGGGACCAGTTCCCGTAGCCGATCCATGTCCCTCTTCATTCGCCGCAACAGTTCCCGTTGCGGAATCAGCCCTAAGTCATTCCCCCCACCGTGCACCACTACAACATCCGGAACCGGACCCTTTGACACTTTTGTAAATAAAACATTACTCAAGCTCTGCCAACTAAAACCTCGAAAACCAAACCAGGATAAGACCGCCCGTTCCAGAGGAAAGCCCAGTTGTGTTCCTTGTCTCCGAACTGCGGCCCTCTTCTGTGCCCAATATACGAACGAGTGTCCCAGCAACCAAACATTCCAACCTGAAAAGAGACAAAATTAATTACACCGCAGTGCCAGTGTCCCCCAGTCCTGGCCATTTAACCCCTCAAAGCTCCACCATCCCGTCGGGCCTCACATACGAGCGAAACCACACGGATTCCCACCTTCCAATCCTCTTGATCCGCTCGTCACCCAAACCCAAGCGTGCCGCCTCTGTAGCCGCACCGATACAGAACGAATGCGACCCGAATTGCATGGGCTGCAGGCCCAGCTTCACTAAGCCCAAACGAAAAATCCTAATGAATTGAAACCGTGACAGCGCCGTGCCGTCAGCGTGCAGGAAAAAACAACCACTAACGTTAGGACGGATCCCCAGGTACCCTGATCCGCAGGCCACCGGGCACAACCCTGACCCCGGCAACTCGAATAGCACCACGGAGCAGCCTTTGCCGAAAACATCAGTTTTCGATCGGCCCAACCTAATCTGCACGCGATCACTCTTAACTTCCACATCATCGCGCTGCAAGCGCTAACCAGCTCCCCGATCCGAAACGCCCCGAAAAACGCCCAGACAAACGCACCAGAAAAAAGGACCACCTCAAATGGCGAGGAACATAACTCCGGTAACTTTCCCACCAAACCTTGTAAGACCGCAAAAGACACCGGTCTCCTGACGTCCGTCGACGTCTTCCCCCGTCCCGCAAAATAAGCCCCGAAACCCACGCTGCCCGAAGCGTCCGTAAACAGCCCCACTGCTTCCGAAGACACCACTTGCTCCCGAAAAAAGGCCTTGCCATTGAAGTCCCTCAAAAAACGATCCCACACCTCTAAGTCCGCCTTCATGTCCGCGGAAACCCTGATATAGTGTGACGGCATCCGTATCCCGCTCGTCGCCCGCGCCAATCGTCTACAGAAAACCCTCCCCATGGGTATGACCCTGCACGCAAAGTTCAGGCTCCCTACCAGAGACTGTAATCCCCTCAGCGTCACCTTCCGTGCTCTCCCAATCGTGTGCACCAAATCTTTCAGTTTGTGCAACTTGTCCTGTGGTAATCTACATTCCCCGATCTCCGAATCGATCTCCAAACCCAGAAAACTAAGACACGTGGCGGGTCCCACAGTCTTGTCCTGCGCCAAAGGAACCCCCATCGTCTGCGTTACCCATTGGAACACCCGTAGTATCTGCTTGCACCGGTCTGAGACTCGAGGGCCGACACATAAGAAGTCGTCCAGGTAGTGCACAACCGTGCCCCCGGCCGATTCCCGTCGCACTACCCATTCCAGAAAAGTGCTAAACTTCTCGAAATAGGCACACGAGATGGAACAACCCATCGGCAAGCACAGATCCACAAAGAAGCCCCCTTCAAAACAACACCCCAAGAGGTGATGACATGACGGGTGTATGGGAAGCAGCCGGAACGCTGCCTCCACGTCCACCTTCGCAATCAGCGCTCCCCGCCCAGCTCTCTGTACCAACTCGACTGCCCTGTCGAATGATGTGTAAGATACTGAACAGAGTGCCGCGTCGATGTCATCATTCACCGATGACCCTTTAGGATACGATAAGTGATGAATCAACCTGAATTTGCCAGCCTCTTTTTTGGGGACCACTCCAAGTGGGGATATCCGCAACTCCGCTAGAGGAGGATACGGGAACGGCCCCGCCATCCTCCCCAAAAGGACCTCTTTGGCCAGCTTTTCCCGTACTACCTCCGGGCGTTCCCGCACCGATTTAAGATTGGCACAAACCGCCCCTGGTTCCTTGACCGTGAAGGGGATCACGAAGCCCTCCCTAAAACCCCGCCACAGGAACGCTGCATCCTCCTGGTTAGCGTATTGCCTTAGCCAAGGCAACATCGCGCCTAACCTCACTGGGGACGCCCCCAGTTGCAGCCGAGGTGGCCGCCACCCCTGCGGTTCCACCCCCTGCATTAAGCTTACCTTTCTTGAAGCATCTGCTGGCGCCGTGATTCCCTCCACAGCCCGAACACTCGTGCCTAAATCGGCATGAAGTACCCCACTTGCATTGACCCTCGTTGCACGTCCAGCACAGGCCCTTCTTTTGTCCCGCTGGCACAGCCACGCCTGAGGCTGTCCCAGCTGCCCCGAGAAAGGGCATCATAATCCTCATCCATAGCGGCAGGTCCATTTGGTCCCACCGCATGGTAGGGTTGGCCGCCAAGCGTTGCCGAAACTGCTCATCATATTTCCACCATGCTAGGCCCCCATACGTCCGATACGCATCGCCTATCCCATCCAAGTAGCAGAACAGTTGCGAACAGCTCCCTGGCCTTTTTTCCCCTATCACACTAGCCAGGATGCAGAACGCCCTCAGCCAATTCCCAAAAGTCTTCGGTATCTTGCGATACCTCCGCCTTTTTTCTTCTTCCTCCTTCTTGGCGTCCTTGGAAGCGGACCTCCTTCTCCCTGCCCTGCAGCTGGTCCTGGAACCACTGCGCCTGCTATGCGATGGACTCCTGTCCCTGCTCCACTGCCGATCAGCTGACCTCCTGCTGCTGCCGGGCCTGGCGCTACCGCTGCGCCGCTCCCGTCTGTACTCCTCCCGCTCCCTGGTCCCGCTGCGGTGCCCCCCGTGAGAGCAGCCTGAGGGGCCCAACCTTCCACTGCTACTGCTCCTGACCTCCCTATCCCGCGCTGTACCGCGTGTGTCACCCTTCTCCGCTGTACCTGGCCATCTGTTGGCCGCTGCGCCTGTCTCAGATGCCCCTTGCACCCCCTGGCAGCCCGCTGGAACCTCTGCCGCTCTCTGTCCGATCCTGTCATCTTCCTGCCGCCCCTCCTCCCTATGCCTGGCACTGTCGCCCGTCCCGGCCACACCTAAGGCCGCCCGCGAGCTGGTCCCGCTGACCAGGCCACCCCTGGGTTGCTGGGGGGCCACCTGCGCCGGAGCATCCCGCGTCCCGCCCGCCCCCTGCCCCTCAGTGACCAGAGTGGACTCACCGGGACGCCTCACTGAAGTGCTGCCGACCACGTGTTCCTCCGCTCTCCCGGCCGCCATTCCCGCCGTGCTGGAGCCCTTCTCTGGGGTACCTGTGCTGCCTGCCGCCATCTTGGGTGGGGCGCGTTTTCCAGCAGGTCCGCGCTTTGCGGCCGTCCTCGCCTGACCGACACCGCGGCGCACAGGCGGCGCCAGCCGCTTCCCAGTGCTGTCCGACCCTCTTGCCTCCTGGCTGGGTGCCGACGGGCTCCTCCGCCGCCGTGGAGTGGGCGCCATGCCCGGACTCAAGCGCTGGGGCGGCCGTGCTCTTCGCGCCGTCCTGTGCTCCGCTGGTGCTGGAGGGGGAACTGCAGCCCCCAGTTGTTCATGCAGCCAGGCCAGCCCTCGGTCCTTCACTACTGCTCTCACTCCGGCCAGGATCTCATCTAGGGACGCCATGGACCTGCAGCAAAAGAAAAAAGAAAAACCCCACAGACCTGACACAACTAACAGGTAAGTGAAGTTCTGATTAAAATGGCCACTCTCTAAGATGGCCGTTATTTTAACCCCCTTTAATCCCGCCCCCAAGCTCCATTAGCTTAAGCCAACCCCTAACTGAATGCACCTGCCCACTCCTGGCTCTGTCAAGGCCCACTCCCCTTACTTCGTTGCTCCATGGGCTTCAGAGCTGGAAGGATCACTGTGCTAAATGAGCCACAGGGTTGTGAGCTCTTACCTGTCCTTCTGGTTCCTGCATCCTTCTACCTTATCACCAAACCCTCACTGAGCATGCATGGCCTCCCCAATCCACATTTAGTCCATGATCTTTAATGTTGAAGAAAATGATAATTTTTGACTCTTGTTTTCCTCCTCTTCATATATTTGAAGTTTCCTTCGAGTATTTTGATTTTACAATCCTGAACGGAACGATCTTTCTGTGTGAAGTGATGTCCAACTGACGTGCAGTAATGGTCTTCTTCATGGTGTGTTATAGAGTATCTGTGTGTGTTCATCCCTTCATATAATTGTTGGATGTTTTTACCCTGGTCATAGTTCATTCATGTATAGAACATATATTGATGTAGAGGAGACCGGTTCCTTCATGCTATATGTTTTATTGTTGTAAGTGGCTATGTGATTTGTGCAGATATGCTGACACCGTTTGCCATGTGGTTTGTTTCAGGGTATGCATGCGTTGCCCTATTAATATTACTAAAACTTCAATCCCATATTGAATCCAGGAAGTGTACAAATGTACTAATTATATACATTCTGTAATCTGATGCTATTTTTCCACAGGATCCCTTAAACAGGAGGATGCAGGGGGTAACATATACCAGGCTGGTGTGAGCGGTGCTGAGAACATTTATTGCCAAAATCAGGATTCCACTGTTTCCAGAAAAACAAATCTCTCTTTCAATGAAATTGAAGGAACCGTGAAGTATTATAGCTGTGATCGCCATGGCTGCTGGGGAGTGAACAAATACAATTCAATATTTTATCGTTTGGATGAGAGTCCAACTGATCGCAAAGGCCGTACATGGAGAGAGGTGGAGGGGAGAATGGTTATGGAGGAAGTTGGTTCTGATGGATCAGTGTACGGAGTTGACCCCGTTGGCTATGTATACAAAAGGTAAATCTTTTAGTAACAATTCTGAAATAGGGAGTATATACCAGAAATATAATTGTGTAGCAATTACTGTCCTAAGTCTGCCAAGTACCTATGAATTAATTCCATTCAGGAGCTTAAATTTATATATTTGTTTTTAACATAAATAATCAAAATCTGACTATTTGTTTTTTTTAACATATATTTATTGTTACTATAAAAAGAGAAGCTATATTATTTACACTGTATTCTCGACATGATAGGGTTGGTTGTACCCTTAGTGTCTGTTGCCACCTACAAAGTTGATCTCTGAGTGTGCGGTAGGACACTAGACAAAAATGACTTTAATTAATAATTGTGCATGTCTTTTTCCCACAGAGAAGGAATCTCTTTTTTGAACAATGTTGGCACTGAGTGGTCTGTGATGAATGAACGTGGTCCCTTTAAGTATGTCTCATATGATAATGGATTGCTATGGCTTCTTAATACAGAGGGGCAAATCTTCAAATGCAATGCCAACTAGTTTGTGTGAACATCAATTAATAAAATCAGCTCAACGTTACCATTAATGAATATGTTATCCTCTACTGTCTTCTATAGACGTCAAGCAAAGTAAATTCTACGTGATTCCATCTTCATTGGGAGCTTTATTAGTAGTAATCAGATATCTGCTTCAGTGTGTGACGGTTCTCAAACAGAACTCACTTTGTAGAACTTTTGAAATTACTTTGATTTTTAAATTAGTATAACATCATTATCAATAAAATGAATTAGAATTTTTTTTTATACACACAAACAGGAAGTAGTCAGTCATACGCTACATTCTACAGGTAAGCATAGTTGTTATTAGTGAAACAAAATTAATGATAAATAATAATAAACATGTACTATCACATAGAATGGCACACTTTACAAACATTTACATTAACCCTTTAAGGACAGAGGGAATTGTTCAAGTTCATAATTTACCTCTTTCATATTAAATGCAACCACACTTATTACATGTATTTATGTTCAGAAGAAAAAGGGCTTTCATTGGTCATCAAATATTTATAAATGAAACATAATTTAATATGAATACAATCTAAAAAAGTATGAGAAATTAAATGTTATTTTGCTAATTCAGCGTAGCATTTTAACTGTAAGTGCAATAAAGCATATATATATATTAGTATGATGTGATGTGCCACAAGTACAACAATGTCCCCCGTGTTTTAGAAAGTTACAGGGTCAAATAAAAAGCTTGTCCATTTCAGTTTTTACACTTTCAAGTTTGACAGATGCAAAATTTGATGCCTTTGAGATTGTATGGCAGCCCAGAAATGAAAACTAACCCCATCATAACATACCACTTGCACAAGTAGACAATCTAGGATATTCAAAATGAGGTATGTTCAGTCTTTTAAAAACGCTTCAGTATTTTTACTTACTATTGTTTCAGCAACAGTTCTCCGCATGTACTAGTTTTCCTGTTTTTTGTGGGGCAAGTCACAGGGCCAAATATATTAGATGCCCTTTTTAACTTTGAAATTTGACAATGCGATTTTTCTGGGCCTATGTCACTTTGGCGAGAGTATAGCAGCTCATGAAAGAAATTTACCCATACAATGGCATATCAATTTTAAAATAACACAACCTAGGAAATTCTAAATTGGATCATTTTAAGTTATTTGGTCTAGCCACTTTATCATAAATGCAGACCCCGTTTAGTGGTAATGTGTTTTTTTTTGTGTTAATTGACACACAGGAATTACATTGTCACAGGAAATGTCATAATCTTGATATGAGTTAGTGCAAAAAAACCTGTATGTGAATTTTTATTACAGATTGTCTCATGAGTACAAGTTTTCAGGTTTTTTTGGTAAGTCACAGGGCCAAATAGATTTTTTTTTTTTTATAATTATTAATTTTTTCATGCATGAATTAACAATTTGGTCTGCCACGCCATAATAGCGATATGAGACCATTCGTCAATAGATTGCAAAGCGACATAAGAAATACTGTGCACATTTTTTTAAGTAAAATACAGGTTAATTCACGATGTGTCAGTAGCTGAAAACTCATGAGGATTAATGAAGCTATGTGTTATAGTCAGACACTGAGTAACTAACATACTAATAGGACGTGCTATGCAATTTATATGATCAGGGTTAGTCTAGTGCATGTTGGTCAGTACACTTAGCTTAGCTCTAGTAATGATAGGGGTATGCCCTGTGTGTGCTCATAGTGGATTAGTGTAGGCTAGGGTAGCATAGTGCCTATCAATCAGGGTTAACAGCTTGACAGTTGTGGTATAGGTTGCACATACAGTGTTGTGACAGGACTACACAGGTATTTAACTGAATCGGCAGCGCAGCGTAAACAGTCGAGACAAGGGTTAATACACATCAGACATTGGGATAAATGTGAGGTAGCACCCGAAATGCGCCCCACAGGTAGTACATTGTTGGAGGTTCACCCTATCCCATGGCTTGGCATCCGATCTCTGTGGTTTGTGGGAGTCTCGTTCTGGAGACGGACGTCGGCTCGATGTCTGCGGCAGGTGCATCTTGTGTGGTCTCCCTGTCCGCCCCAGCTCTCAGTGTACTCCTGTGTACCTGAGCCGCCTGTTTCTCTGCGTGTTGCAGCCGGAGCTCGGGGTCCACCGGTATGTTGCTTCTTCATGCATAGAGTGGCGGTCCCCCGGCGGGGGGTGAAGCTTTGATGGGGTGGTCCCGCTTGAGCATAGTGTGGCACCTCGTTGGTCTGGGCTTGTGGCATTGAGGTTTTCTCGGGGTGCTCGCCTTCCCCTTCCTGCCTTCCAAGTCGCGCCGTTGCCCTGTTCCGGAGCTGCGTGTTGCTGTGTTGGCACTGGTGAGGTTACCGTCGGTGGAGCCTCTTCATCTGTGCCCCTGCGGAGTTTAAGTTTGGCCCAGAAGGCAGTGAACAGATGATCAAGTCTTTCCTTCAGCGGGGGTAGTGGAGAGGCGGGCCGCGGCTCACACGTGGCGTCCGCCATGTCTGGCATTGCCAGTATGTCACTGTTGGCGCTATGCTGCTGGGTCACAAGATTTAGTAGCCGGGATATCCCTCACCAGCAGGAGGGGGGAAGATTGTGTCTGGGAACCTGCAGGCTAGTGGGCTCAAGTCAGCGGAGGGATCGGCCGCCTCCCCTGCGCCGTCTGAGTAGGCCTCAGGTCTGACTACGGGATATGTCCATCGTTTCAGTTGTGGGACCAGACGTTTGTTGCCGCAGATGTGGACCTCAGTCTCCAGGCCTGGTATACTATTAAGATTTGGGGCTTTTGCTGTCAATGCGGTTGAATGAGTATTTTAGCCTGGAGCTCTAACGAAGTGCAACCGCTCGGCATGGCGGTCAGGCTCTGCCCCCCCTTTGATGTCTTTTTAACTTGTAAAATTGACAAAGTGATTTTCTGGGGCTTTAAGGGAACATGGCACCCTAAGGAAGAAAATTTCCCCCATTTTAACAAGTTTTCTAGATGTTTTATTTTGAGTTGTTTGGTGTAGCCACTTTATAATGGCTGAGTTTAATGTAAACAGGGACAGGCCACGGTCAGAGTAGTCAGTAAAACAAGCCAATAAGTCGATACAGGCAGCAAACAGAGATCAAGTAAAAAAAAAAAGTGTAAAAAAATAAACGACTTATGTAAACCCAGTGGACTTTGCTACAAAGTTTTTAGACATCTTCTGATTCCAAAGGTGGAGTGTTGTAGGACAGGGCAAATAGAATATCAGACAACATTTTCAACAAAAAAAAACAAACAAATCAATAGGTATGGCTTACCTTGTACAGCACAAGGAAGAATGGTAGAATAACTTTATTATTGGTTTATGTAGATTGTAACTTTCTTGAATCAGGTTCCTCTTTTTTGGGTTCACCAAATAAGGCTGTATACATTGATCAGTCAAGTCTACTCCCCCCCCCCATATATTTGTTGTAGTCTACACTGCACTTCAGTTTTGACAGAAACTGGCAATGTATTCTCATTGTGCATTGTTGACATCATGTATACATTTCTCTTACCTGTGAACCGAAGGAGCCAGCACCTCATCCTGGTGTAGAGCTGAACAGGAGTCTCTACTGTGTCTGCTTCTTGTCAGGGTTTTGGGGGGAAACAAGCTAGGGTTTTAAAACACAATACATTTAAAAAATCAATACTGGTATACTAATTATAACCCTTATTTAAGAAGAGAAAGATCAGATCCCACACAATTTTGTCATTTGTACCTAGAGAATCAGGGCATCCTGATTGGTCAAGATGGCTCTTTCCATTGAAGGAAATAACAAAAAGGTACCAGTAGGAAACAAAATAACCGTACCATAGAGGCTCCAAGTATAACCCACAACAATTCATCTAGATTACAAAATAGAAGGCCCAAAAAGGGCATATGAGTCCAAAAATGGAGATTCCTCCAATATATAAAATAATGCTAGAACAATGTTGTTAGAATATGCAACAATTATAAAAATTAGAGTAATTGACAATACATATGCTCATTAAAAAGTCACAAGGCTGTGGTGCACGATGGGGGTTAAATACTGTGGGTTTAGATTTAACAAGATACATATGAACCAACCATTTCACAGCAGGAGCAATTCACCAGGGTCTTAGAAAGGGATAAGCCATGATGCCGCAAAGAGCCAGTCAAAAGGTCTTACAAAAATTTTGTTTTAAACCTATTTGAAAAAACTACCACTAGAAACCACTCTTCTGGTGATATACCAGGTTGAAATGGTGAAATGAAAAAAATATAAAATAACCCACTTGTGTACAATGTATAAACACAATAATATTAGAATAGCAGATTCTCCATTAAAGCGGCACTGTCATGCCGAACTTGCCTGTCCCCAATCGATTCCTCTTCTCTCATTCTGTCAGAATCTGTTATTCATTTCTTCCTGTCTGCTCTAGTTTTCATTTAGACAGGATGCTGGCGAAACTACCGAATTTTGTCTAACCGAATGAGAACAGTTTGTTCATTCATGTTAGGATACAATTCGGGACTTTGTTCGGATCAGAATTTCATTCAAATGAATGAAACTCCGATTCTATTCATGTTGTGAGTAGATAGCTCCCTAATTCCCACGGTATTAGGGAGCTATCTACCAAAAGGCTGAAAGACCTGAATTGGTCTTTCAGCCAACTTTACTAATACTAAGTAAAGATTACTTAGTATTAGTAAATTCTGCCCCTAGTTGCTATATCGCCAATCAATTTGAAAAAGCAACCAATCACAGTGTTATGAGTCAAATTACACCGCATGGGAAAATTCCAAAGAACTTTCCCATGCTGTGTAAAATGACACAGAGCACTCTGGTTGGTTGGATTTCAATGCTTGAAATCAACCATTCAGAGTGCTCTAAGTCAAATTACAGGGCATGGGAAGGCTTTATAAGACTTTCCCCACCCTGCGGAGCTCAGTCTGCGCAGTGACCATGCTAGGTGAAGATGGATTATTTTATTTGGCGTCAGGTTTTTTTTGGGGGGGATGTTTTTTCTTTGCGCGGTTTTTATTTATTTT